CCCCCAAAACCCCAAAACCCCAAAACCCCTTTGATAACTCCAAAAATGAAATTTACATTAAAGCATATCTTTTAGTATTATACCATTCATTACTTTCCATCTAATTTTTCAAACCAAGATGGAATCTCTTCATACTGGGTACAACTATTTATGAGATTCTTCAGAGAATCTCCACCCATCAGTTAGTGCAGTCCAGGCTTACCCTCAAAATGTGGCAAGCAGAGTTGAACCAGAATCAGACATAATAAGCATCCATGACACTCAATCTGAAGAATCAGAGTGCTCCCCTATCTACGAAGTAGAAAAGGTCCTGAAATCAAGAATGGTCGACGGGCAAGAGCAGTTCTATGTCAAATGGGTAGGCTATCCCTCCACTGAAAACACATGGGAGCCAATCCTAAACTTCGGAGAAGGTAATCTACCTCTTCAGAGGTTCCTCCAAAAACGGGAACGAAAGAATGAGCTTCGAAGACAAAAAGCTCAGCTTGCTGAAAAGAAGCGAATTAAATAAAGAGAATCGTAAGAAATTGAATAAAAGGAAAAGGCTGACCAAACTATCAGATATTATGGAAAATTGTCACTTGGATGAAAAGAAAAGTTGAGTTTTGGAGGATGCCTCTGATTTGGGAAAGGAAAATTACTGTGATAGCAAGCTTAAGAAGATGGATGTTCAAGCTGAAATTGAGGGAGACAGAGCAAATGGAGGAGGTAAAAAGGAATTTAAGGATGACATTTTTGAATTAGGCAAAGGAAATGATGAAAATAAAGAGCCAAATGATAAGAATAAGTCTTTTAATGAGAAAGAGAATTTAAAAATATGTAATAGTGCTAATTTGTCAAGAAAAACTGCGGCGGATGACTGCGATCCAAAAAGTAATGATGATAATAATGTTGGCTATCAAAAACAAATTGAATGTTGTTCAGATCGTAATTCAAGCGAGAATATTATCAAAGGAAGTAATAGAGCTTTCCAAATATCAGTTAAAGAGCCTAACTGTTCTAATTTACACAGAAAGATGCATGCAGAGTTTTCTTTAAAAGAAATTTGCCCACCTAAATCATCTACTAGTGAGCTAAAATTTCGAATTAAAGATCAGAAAACTGCAAGAAGCACCTCTGATAGTATTTTACATTTAGAATGTAAAAAGAAATGACTGCCGTTGAAAGATAAAGAAGCCACAGGTAAATTTACATCAATAAATCTTGTTAAAAACAGTGAAAGCCAGATTGAAAAGAATTCTATAAATAAATCTGATACTAATAAACCATCAGAATCCTCTCCAACTTGAAAGCAGACTTCAAATAAACCTTGAGATCGACCTATAAAGGGAAGTGTAGAGCATGATGTAATCGACGCAATATTAAGAATGAAGAACATGTCAGGGAAACTCTATGCATTAGTGCAGTGGAAGAAGAGACCAGATGGAATACTACCTTCAAAGACTTATGAAGAAGTAGAAAAACTCAAGAAGAAAAATATTAGAGAGGTTTGAGACTTTTATGAAACTAAGATTAAGCTTAAGGCCAGCACTGGATAAATTTGTTCAATAAGTTATTTATTTGAAGGGGTTTTGGGGTTTTGGGGTTTTGGGG